TGCCGTATCCCTTTAAATCGTTTCTAATTTGTACGGCCTATATCGAACTGACAATGTGCCCTCACATGTCTGGAGACAGACTTCAGTTATACGCTCACCTCAGCCTTGACATTTAATATCCCAGTCTTTATTTTAGCTGATTTTAACTGCAATGTGCTCCAACCTAATGAACTTGAACCGAAAGCGCTGTTTGTATATTGATAAACCGACTAGGATATAACACAGCGTTCTAAGTCTTAGCTGGATGTTACAATCACTAACAATAAGGACTTGACTAAGGAAACCAAAGTACTATCTCATTGGATAAGTGATCACGAACTGATTGTTGCGATTCTGTAATTAAAGAAACCGCTTCCTAAACCCACTAGGTGCTTCAAGAATTATGACAAAAGAGCCTTTATCAAAGACATTTCCATTGACCCCTGGTCTGTTGTTGATGCCTTCGATAATACTGAAGACAAAGTAAATGCTTTTAATAGCCTATTTAATCAAGTTCTAGATCAACACGCTCCCGTCAAAACGAACAAAGTCAGAACCTGCCTTTCTCCCTTCACAGACGATAATGTTCGTGCTCTAATGAGAACTATAGAAATCAGTGAAGAAAACTAGGAAGAAAAACAAATGATCGCGCTGCTTCCTCGGGCTATATAAGACCTAGTTCAAACGTGAACTAAAACGGGAACTGAAATTATAGCTCAGAGGAACTTTGTAAAAAGCCGGATAATGGAAAAAACCCAAATGATACTAATGCCTTATGGAAAACAATTCGGTCTTGTATTCTAAAAACGTCAGTCAATACGAGGAGTTACAGTGAAGATGATCAAATTGTAGTGAATAAATTTAATCAGTATTTTACATCAGTAGGCAGAACCACAGTTGACAAAATTACTTCTTTAGCGAAAGAATGCAATTTTTACGCCCAGAATACCAGTATCAGTCACGCCTACATATCCAACTACTGAGATGTCACCTTTTTTGAAGGCAGAACAGACGTTACTCAATTTCCATTCACTAGGCCATGTTGCATTGGCTATTGCATATATCATGTTGACACGACAACACGCTTTGAAAAGCAGTAGACAAATAGAATCTAAATCTACCCTAAATAATCCAGATAACGAGACCGCGAAAATGAAAAGTGCAAAATCAAAGAGTACACCAAGCAAATCACCAGGAAAAAGCGAAGAAAAACGATTAGATAATGAAAAATTGGACGAAATCTACGAGACGATCAAGATGAGATCAAAAATCGAATTGTTTGCAAGATTTCAAGCAGATGAAATCTTCATTAGAGTTTGCGCACGCAGAAGTTGAAGATTTAAAAGAGCAAGTTGAAAATGCTAAGAATTCGGAAGAGGAAAATCGAAATAGAATTGTCGAATTAGAGGAAGCAAATCGACGCCTACACGAGAGCGTCATCGATCTGAAAGCTCGATCAATGCGCGATAACCTGCTATTCTTTAATGTCGAAGAAGAGGAAAAGGAAAATACCGATGAGAAAATTGTTCAGATTCTCGAGGAGAAATTAGAGATTCCCGATGCCAGGAATAAGATAAAAATCGACAGAACACACCGAGTCGGAAGGAAACGCAACGCGCAACGTAAACCGAGAGCAATAGTCGTTAAATTCAACTACTTTCGAGATCGTGAATTTATCCGCCAAAACGCCATAAACCAGAGCACAGAAAACCAAATATTCGACCGGTCGAGAGGACGGGGGAGGAGAGCTCGAGTATCAGTTCTCGTGACAGCTCGAACGACGAAGACTTCATCCAACATCTTCCAATCAGACAAACAACTCGATTGAATACCAAGAAAATTTCTAAATTGTGTACAGTAATGATCAATGATGTGGCAACAGAAATTGAACCCGACACGGGATCGGATGCAAATATAATGGATGAAGAGCAATTTGATCGACTCCAGAAAGCGAGATCTGAAATTCGGCTGAAGAAATCCAGAACAAAGCTGCGAGCACTTCTTAAAGACATCCCGGTACTAGGAGAATGCTCTGTGACCATCAGAAACCAAACGAGGCAGACACGAACACGCATTATCGTTATTAGGGGCAAAATGGATTCTTTGCCACTGATCGGAAGACCCACCTTATCCAATTTAGGCATGGTTCTCATCGACGAGACTGGAAACTTAGAAAACTCCAGGGAAAAAGATACACACAAAGTAAAGAAAACAGACGCAACCTACCCAAAACTCGAAGAAATCCTCGGAAAGTACGAAGGAAGATTCCACGGAGTAGGAAAGGCGGAAAGAGACGGAGACGTTATTGAAATCCATTTACCCATGAATGAGGATGCGACGCCGATAGCTCAGAAACCAAGACGGGTGCCGTATTACTTACTACAGCCTTTGGAGCAGCGCATTATTGAATTCATCGAAAGTGACATCATAGAGAAGGTCCCCGAACAAGAAGCGGTCGGGTGGTGTTCACCTCTCGTGGTACAACCGAAAGCGAAGAATCCTAAGGACATCCGAGTGAGTCTCGATCTCCGAATTCTAAATCAGTCTATGGCACGCACAAGGCACGTACAATCACCCATCACCGAAGACTTTGCAAACGAATTTAAGGACTGCATCAATTCGCGCTCGATGAAGAATCTAGAAAGATAATGACATTCTCAACGCCCTGGGGGAACTATAGATACAAAAGACTTGCATTCGGTGGCAAGAACAGACAAGATCTTTTTGATGCGGAGATCGCAAAGATAATCTCGGGTATACGTCATGTCTTAAACAACCGCGACGACATCATGGTCGGAGGTAAAGATTGGGAAGAACACAATCGGAACCTGGAAACACTATTCGAACGACTCTCAATCCACAACATAACGCTTCGAAAGGAGAAATGTGAATTCGGTCGGACATCGCTAGAATTCCATGGTCATTACTTCACCAGCGAAGGGCTGAGACCAAGTCCCAACAAGATCAGAGCTATCCAGGAAATGGAAAGACCGAAAAGTAAAGAAGAGTTGGTATCGTTTATCCAAATGATGGCATATCTGTCCCGATTCATCGAAAATTTCTCCAGCAGATCAGAACCACTTAGGCGGATAACGAAACAAGGTCATCGTTTTGAATGGAATCAAGAGCAACAGATGGCGTTCGATGATCTGAGAAATGCAATGACAAGAGCACCTGTACTCGCACCATACCACACCGGAAGGAAGACCCTTATTATCTGCGATGCAAGTCCAGTCGGTCTCGGAGGCGGATTATTCCAAAAGACAGCCCATGGATATCAACCAGTCCATTATGTGAGTAGAACACTGACAGAGACTGAACGAAAGTATTCCCAAATCGAACGAGAAGCCCTTGCGGTAGAATTCTCAACAAACCAACTGCAAATGTACCTGGCAGGGTCACAACAATTCCAGATAGCGACGGATCATAAACCGTTATTACCAATCTTCAATAGCCCAAATGCGAAACTACCACTAAGACTAGAACGGTTAAGGATGAAGACACAGCATTTAGATTTTGTTATGATACACATACCAGGGAAATCGAACATGACCGACTACCTATCCCGTCACCCACTACCAGATATCGAAGAGACACATTTAGAACACCATGTAAGAGCTGTGATCGCAACCGAACATGCCGTTGTATTAGATAAGATACGTGAAACTAGCAACGACAACGAGTTACAAGCACTCATTCAGGTAATCAGAACTGGTAATTGGGAAAACACAGCCATGGACTTGAAACAGCGGAAGAAAATAATCAGTGTTGCGCACAAGCAAGGCCATCTTGGCAGCAGCAAGACGAAGGAAATGATCCGAAACAAGTATTGGTTTCCCTCGATGAATATTCAGATCGAGAATATTGTACAAGCCTGCTTTAGCTGTCAGATAGCAACAAATACGTTCCACGCTGAACCGGCGAAAATGACAAAGATCCCGCAACAACCATGGGAAGTTGTTGAACTTGACTTTTGCGGACCGTTTCCTAATGGAGAATACGCCATGGTACTTACAGATCAATTTTCTCGCTACCCAGAAGTCGAATTCACTCGCTCGATAGCAATTGCACCGGTGAGAGAAAGCTTGAAGAAAGTATTCGCAACGCACGGAGTCCCAAAAGTTGTTCAAACGGACAATGGACCACCATTTAATTCACGTGAATTCAAGCAACTTGCTGATGAAATGGGATTCACTCATAAATCTGTCACGCCGTACCATCCAAAAGCACAAGGGCAGGTGGAAAACTTCAACAAATTAATTAACAAGGTCGCCGCAATTTCAAAACAAGATCATGAAAAGGTATAAGACATATATCAAAATTTAAGTTAAAAATGGTGCATAGATGATACTGTGACTTATTCAAGATGTATAATAGCTCTTTTACTTTTTAAGTCATAGTAAATCAAACAGTCGTACTTTTTTGCCCCGCCCGGTATATATACGAAATACAAACAGTACTCAGTATAGGCTCATTACCATATAGATAGAGCGTAATTTAGTTTTTTGTTTTTCCTCAAAAAACCACTCATCCGTAGAGGAATCATTGTTCATCCGTATTGCAATAAAACGAAAAACTATAATATGGGCCAAGTATGATAGAGGAGCTATCGCTGCATGATGAAGTCACTATAGGTCCAAGCACCGAACGTTGCGTCGTAAATGCAATTCGACCGGGCTGGGCATTCAACCAGACTAGCCAGTAAAAACATGTCTTACATTGGAAAGTCTTTGCCGAGAAGCATTTTAAAGTTGATGCCCGTTCCTCGCAAGAAAGCTTTCGAAAATTTCAAACACAAAAATAACAACATTCCAAGGGGACAGACAAAGTTTACTAATTTAAACAATAAAATACATTTTCACCTACCTTCAGCATTTTTGGGAGAGGGCACTTTGATTTTGGTTTCGGATTTCGTTTCAATTTTCTCTATATTTTTATGTAGCTTGCCAACGACAACACCTAAATATTCTTTCGGCACATAGATCGTACTTTTTACATCACCATTCACCTTAGTTGCAATATGAAACAAACAGTTAGCATTTCTTTTATAATTCACTGAAAAATGAAGTTTACAATATATATATATATATATATATATATATATATATATATATATATATATATATATATATATATATATATATATATATATATATATATATATATATATATATATATATATATATATACCGGGTGGGGCAACAAAAAGTACGACTGTTTGATTTACTATGACTCAAAAACTAAAAGAGCTATTGCAATTAAATAAATCACCCTATATTCCGCGATGTTTAACTTAGATTTTGATATATGTCTGGTGCATTTTCATGCGATTATGACTGAGATAATTGTGTTTAAACTTACGCAAACATTTTTGGAACAGCCAATAATTAGCCGAAAAGCCCCTATTAAACTAATTCAATAACCGTTACGATTTGTTCGCGATTATTGTTTCAATGAAGTGAAGTCAAAGTTATAAAAATATTTCTTCGTTCACAGACTTTTTATTTTTTTGTTTTCCGATGTTGGGCAATGGATGTGAACTTATAAGGCCGATTTTATTAAAAGTTTTGTTCCTAGAAGGTACCCGATACGCGTGGGATAGGTAGTCTGTATGTTCTAATGAGTCTAGAACGAGCTGTCCCATTTCACGGACAAGATGTTGCAATTGTGCCGGGGGCATGAATTTGCTGATGAATAGATGATTGCTTTTGAACAACAAGTGTTAACGTACTGACTATAGAGTATAACGCGTCTTAACACAAGTTGTTTTTGTATATAAAGGTATTAATATTTAATACGCCGTTTTTAGCTTAATTCTCTCAGTTTCAAAAATGTTTCTCTTGTTGAAATGCACGTATCTTTGTCAATATGGCATAGAAATGTGCATGGCAAAATTTAAGTTAGACATCGCTGAATGCCAATAAACGTGTTTTATTGTCATTGCTCTCTTAGTTCTGGTGTTATACCAATTCAAAGAATCGTACTATTTTTTCCCCCATATATATATATATATATATATATATATATATATATATATATATATATATATATATATATATATATATATATATATATATATATATATATATATATATATATATATATATATATATATATATATATATATATA